TCCTGTCTCCTGCAGGGGCTCGACAACAAGTTTCAAGCTACAGAAAATCGCCGAGATGCTTAGAAATGTCTTAGATTGCCCTCTTTTGATTGTTAGCATCCACGTTTGCGCCAACCTAGTGATGAGTTGTAATTCCCAACTCTTTTTCTCAGAATAAAGACGAAAGTCAATTTTTAAGATTTTGGTCACATCTCATTCGTTATTCCCGTGAGATCGTCGTCCGTATGCTGAAAGATTGTCATGGATCTTGACTAAAATGTTTAAAAATCTCTCAGGATCTATTGAGTACCCTTTGAGTTCGTCGGAGACGAAGATACATATAAACCTGGATGATATTTATAAGACCACGTGTCTATAGTGTTGGCACAATAACGTGCGTAAAAATGGGCTTTCTAAGCCTCCCTTTCTAGTGTCCATTTTATCGTCGATTAGGTTAACATACATGTTACCCTGAGAGGAGTTCATACTACTTACCCATCGGATGCTTTTTTCCATTGTCAACTGACTCGTCGATCTCTCTGCATTCGACCACAACGTTCTCAGCTTTACACTTATATCTGACAGATGGATCTTGACAGGCCTGACTATAGCGAAAAGACCCGTTGAGAATCTTAATAAAGAGTTGTTTCATTTGAATCCTAGTTTCTTCTGTGTTACAATCTCCATCATAGTAGTGCAATTCCATTGCAAGACTTACTTTATTGGCATGATACTTTTCTGCAAAGGTTTAAAAAACAAATCATTACACAACCATTTGCACATATTCACTTTTGGCCTGGTTGAATCAGGTGAAGGCTGAGACAAAAGACTCCACTGTTGAGTTCGAGGTTTCAATTTTACATTTTTTTCTGGGCATTGCAAGTCACTGGCTCCACCCTTGTGTAATCTATACGAGCAGCGATAAACATTGGTGTCAGTCCTTTGTCTATCACGTTGAAATTGCGAGTGGAATGGTAACACTGTCTCAGTCATACTCTATCCAGCCAATTCAAGAAATAATTAACAATAGCTGGTATGCTACCGACATTCACTCCGACGAACTACTTCGTTTTTCACACTAAGAGATAATGTTCCCCCCTATTTGGAGTGTTATGTGAACGAATGTAGGCCAAAGTAAGACATAATGGCACCACAAACGTACCCTTAAGGCCCCGAATATATTTTCATCGCTCTCTACCAGACTTTGGGAGTATATTAGTTTGCTGTTAATGCGAGCTGTTCAACAATTTCTTTTCGTTTCTTTTCTTTTTTTGTTTTAGATTTATATACTGCGTCCTTGCGCAGTCTGACCAGCGATCCCGTGGTTTCCAGATACCCGATCCTCAGCAAACCGAAACGCTATGCGAGAAATTTTGGTGAAAATCAAACCGGCTATTGCAATAAGGTGAACACATCTTTCCAAACATCCAGTTATCACAAGCCTTAGCTCCGTTGGTAGGAGGTCTCAGGTATTTACATGGTTTTGCTGAGAAAGGAAATGCACAGTTACTTAATCCCTATTTCCCCGTTACTTTTTTCTTCATCTTTCAGAAGCAATTCAGCTGAAAGAAAAAAGCTAGTAACGATCAATATAAAAATATAATTGAATGTGGGTATCATTTGGACATTAGTTCGTATTCTGTAATGGTAAAAATGCTGTAAAGAGAAAGAATAATGCAGTAAATGGTTTGAACCCGGGGGTAACATGTGAAGGTGTAGTCTGATCGTCCGGATGAGTGTAGTCCTGAGAAGGACTGTTGTCGGTGGTAGTGACTGACGTTTCGACAACCTGTGCGGAAGTCATCATCAGAGTCAAGTGAATGATTGTTGTCAGTAGAATGTTCTTATTCCAGTTCGTGTGAAATGATCGGTTGGTTTTGCCGTGATGTTATTGGCTGTAAGACTCAAGTGACGTAAGTCGGTCGTGATTGGTCTGTTTCGATCTGTCGGTAAAGTTAGGTCGTTCTTTTTCGGTCGTTTGTGATGTTTATGTCGTGAATGAGTCGTTTGTATGGAGCGGGTAGTTGTTGACATCTGTTTAGGGGAGTCTGTTCTAAGTTAGTAAACCAGCTTTCCAGAGTCAGTCGTTGAAAATAGTCAGTGCTGTAGGTTAGGCATTGCGCAGAGTCCCAGTCAATGTTGTGGTTGGTAAGTCGATGGTGTTCAGCAATGTGATTGCTGACATCACCTTTCCTCGTCGCCCGTCTGTGTTCAGTCAGTCTTGTTGTGAGGTTTCTGCCAGTCTCACCGATGTAGGAGGCTTGGCAGTCGGAACAATTGATCTTATAAATCGTTCCCTGTCTGTTCCTCGGTTCGTCTTTGTCTTTAACGTTGGTTAGTAACTGACGTAGTGTGGTGATGGGTTTGTGGGCGACGCGGATATTGAAGGGTAGTAAGATGCGCGAGATGTTTTCAGACATGCATTTTAACATCACGGCAAAACCAACCGATCATTTCACACGAACTGGAATAAGAACACTCTACTGACAACAATCATTCACTTGACTCTGATGATGACTTCCGCACAGGTTGTCGAAACGTCAGTCACTACCACCGACAACAGTCCTTCTTAGGACTACACTCACCCGGACGATCAGACTACACCTTCACAGAAAGAATAATGATCGCAAACGATGCGCCGTTTTGTTTGGCAGGTACATAGAGTCTTAGAGTGTTATGCTGTTGACGTCAATTTCTCTCTTAAAATAGTACTTTAAGTATCTTAGAAATGTTTTTGATATTAAACTAGACACGTTCTGAATAATGATAAAAATGACTGTATAAACTGTATTTATTTTCAGATTTCTCTAGGGTTTCCGTTTTTTACGGTCAAACTTAAGAATGGGGAAGTTTGTATGTTTTCTCTTTCTTCCAAGAAGTGCATTGTTTTACTTTAATAGAGTTACCTAAAGTGCTGACGTAGTAAACTTATTCATAGTACCAAGGCACCATCAAAATACATTTAGTTACCATTTCTTACAATGGAAAAGAGAATTTTGAATTCTCAAGCAAAAGCCATTAAGAAGGTCGTTGCTGAAAATAAAGATTTTCTAGTATCAAGTATCTTAAAGGTATGGACTGTGTACCGACAGCTCTTGCAGGGAATCATATTTGTTAATTACGTTTTATTGTGAGGTCAAACTTACAGACTGCTGGCTTGTTGTCCGGGTTGTTATCGTATGCCATACAGTGTATTGTATAGCTTCCCCAATAGAAGACAATGCCACTTTTTCGACTGCACGTTGTTTGCAGCGGGTCGTTGCTGTTGTCTTTAAATTGAGGCTCTGGCCATGTAACGGCTATTTGTCGATTTTCTGAAGTGATGTTTCGACTTGGAAGGTAGAAAACGACTACAGGACCTGAATTATCTAGGAAATTGACAGTAAACCCACATATTAACCGTCATTTTTACGAGAGTTATAAAGAGTCTTACGGTCAGATCAAGACGACAGCTAGGGAAGCATTTATGGCCACAGATCAGAAACTTAATATGCTTTACAACGTTCGTGATTGGCAGTACGATTTCATTTCCAAACACGTTGAACAGAGTTGCGGGCAGAAAGGACGAAAGTAATGCTGTCTAATGAAGCTAATACTCTTTTTAAACCAAAGCCCATGGTTTAAAGCTGTTTAGTTAAACACTGTTTAAAATTGTTCTCGTTATCGAAGCGGCGTAAACCGATGTTTTTCGACTTTAAATATACAAACTTCTGGGTAACACAAAAACCAAATAGACTTGACAATTTGATTAAGGCATTGAACAAGTTGTTTACCCTCCGGGATTATTCTAAAAGAGCATTTGGCTACATTTCCACTTGGATCCTCGGCCTTGTACTCAACCAGGAGTGTCTCATTTATCCCGTGAGGCGACTTAACCCCCTGATGGTAGACTGTCACTTGTTGTACCACGTTACTATCGTCCAATGCAACTGGAACGGACCAATTTGCCATTACTGTTCAATTTGCGTTGAGGTTTACACGAATTTCTGAGGGACAATTCCTAAATACAGGTGGTGACACATTTGCAAAGATCGATATGCAACAACAGAATAACGTTTGACAACAAGTAAATGGTAGTTCATTGTGATTTTCTCCCCATTATATCCTGAGCATTTTGATTGGTTTTTCAACTTGTGATCCATTTGAGGACAAACGAATAGAGAGTAGAAGTAGTCATCACTCCTTCATCAGAAAACGATGGAGTACTCCCTGTCGCATGCGAACCCAGGCGCTTGTTCACGAATTACGAATTAATAGCGTCACTATTGTCAACCAGTTGCTTTTTCGTCACATGAAACAATTGCAAATCGGTTCCATGTTGTCGTAAGTAGGTGCAGTGATAGATCTTTGATGACGTCAATGTAGTAAGAACACCACTGTCACACGGCTGCATCTCGTGTGCAACTCATTTGACGTCATCTGCGATCTATTGCTGATCTATTACATGGTAACATGCAATCTCTTTGTTAAGTTTTCTCCACACACCGAGTCAGATTTAATAGATTGAAACAACAAACTCAGGGTAACGCACCATCACTTATGGCAATTCCTCAAACAAAAATCTGAATTGCTTACCTAGACATTTCAATATCGAGGAAATGTTTTTGCTCCATTTCCCATCATATTCACAATATACCAAAGTTGCTCCTCCATTTACGTGGAAACCATTCCTGCATTCGAAGTAACAGGTTGTTCCGCTGACTAGAGACGACTTGCACATGCGGGGATAAATAAAGCCGTATCATGGAGTACTCAGAGAAGAACATCTCCGTGCTGAAAACGAACAACGCTAATAATATGTTTAAGTTATTTACATGGAGATAAACTAACAACCGAGTTAGAAACCGAGTTAGGAACCGAGTTAGGAACCGACTTAGGAACCGACTTAAGAACCGAGTTAGGAACCGAGTTAATAATTAATTAATTGATCATCGATTATGATTATTGACAAAATAGGGTAATTTGAAAGGGACAACACGAGCCCTGTACTAGAAATCCCCCATCTAGATTTCTCATATTCGCCGGTAACAAAACGAAAAAGGGCCTGGGACTGAAACTGCGATCGCAAAGCATGCATGGATTGTTTGGCTGGACAGAAATCAAAATGGCGTCCATTGCGAATGATAGTAAGCTCTCAGAAACTAAAGAAGAAGGCTTTATTTTAACTGAAGACGATATACCTGGGGCTGTTTTGCAAAACAGAAATGTAGAGGCATGCAGTGTGGTACAGCTAAAGCGCTGGCTGATTTGTAGGGGAGCGAAAACAAGTGGTAAAAAGTCAGCTTTAGTCAGCAGGTAAAGGGTCAAATTCAGCTTTTTCGTAGCTCTTTCTTTTGCTCACATAAAAACCATTAATATTTCTGATGGAAAACATATTCACTTAAAGATTTTATACATTAAATCGTCTGCTTAGAACTCCATTAACATTATTTAAAATCGTTTTGCATAGGCTAAAACACTATGTAGAAAATGGCCTTGACAAGAAATATCTTAGAGACCCCGACAACGGCGCTAATATTATGAAGAAAAAAGCAGATCTTGGTTTGCTTGATAAGAGAGAGCCTCAAACAAATGGAAAATTTCCAAAAGAAGGTTTCAACTCTGATCTCAATGCTCTCCCTAAAGTGTCATTTGGAACCATCTGGCGTTACATGATCGACTCAGTTGACTCAAAAAAACAACTCTCAACTGCTAAACCTCTTGTAAAGGGGTTCAATTTTTATAAGTCTGGGAACGTACATTCTATTCACCATTTAAAGGAAAGTGGGAAGCACTTTATAAAGAGCCAAGTTCTCCCATCAATGAAAAAGAACTTAATATACCAATGTCAAATAGTAATGTCAAGTATTGGAGGAGTACTCAAAGCATATTGTGGTTGCCCAGCAGGAATAGACGGAAGATGTAATCATGTGTCTGCAACTCTCTTTGCCTTGGCTGAATATTGCAAAGAAAGAGAAAAGATCTCCATAGAATCATGTACTTCTAAACCATGTAAATGGAATATCCCAAGGAAACGAAAAGGTCCTCTATCACCAATCTCAGCCATGTCATTTCATAAACATGACTACAGCAAACAAGTTAAGACTGACAGAACACCAAATATCAAGAAAGGGAAAGATGTTCGAGCTATACATCAGAGAGAGTGGTCAGATGCCAAAGTGAACAATATGTTACAAACTATCAAAGACTATCAAACCAAAAGTGGTAACATTGTTGGCTGGAGTCACATACTGCCACAAGAGGTTAAAGAAGAAGACACCATTGTTTCGCCGCTCAAAGTCCTTCCACCATCCCTAAGGGAAATAAGTGAAAAATGCAAAGAAATTGAGAAAAAGTTGAATCTAGAGGAAAAGGAAATTACCAAAGTTGAGCAAAAGACTAGAGGACAATCAGAGGACAAGCTTTGGAATTATCACAGAAAGTGTAGAATAACAGCTTCGAAATGTTACCGGGTTGCCTCTTTGAAGCCCACTACATCACCAACAAAGGCACTTGCAGATGTCTTACAGTATAATAAACAGTATCAGAGTTTTGCAATGAATCAGGGTTTAGAGAAAGAAGAAGAAATTGAAAGATTATATGTTACATCTAAGCATAACTCAGGCTACAGGAATCTTTCAGTTGAGCCATGTGGGCTTTTTATTAGCCAAAGCCATGGTTTCTTAGCAGCCACCCCTGATGGTCTAGTGTCAGATCCTCATGTTTCCCAACCACTTGGACTTCTTGAAATGAAATTGATACAGTTAAATGACAGTGAGAGTCTTAGACAAGGTCTGCTTCAAAGAAGAATATGTAAGGACTGTGGTGACAACCATCTAAAGATGAACACTGGACATAAGTATTTCTATCAAATACAACAACAGATGTTTGTAACCCAGCGTAAATGGACAGATTTTGTAGTCAAGGGATCAACAGGAAATGAGCTATACATTGAGCGAGTCAACTTCAACTCTGAGTTTTGGGAAAGTGTTCTTCCTAAACTTTGCAATTTCTTTCAACTACAAGTTTTACCAGAGATGTCATATCCTCGAGTCAAATATGGGTTAGCAAGATGTCAGTTGAGATTTGAATAGACTGTGCCTAAATTGATTTAAATGAATTCATTTAGAACAGTGTAAAAGAAAACCTTGCAGTCTTGAATATAAGTTGCACAATTTTAATTATCTTGGACATAATGGGTCTACATGTAGTGTAACCTTTAAAAAGGTTAAAATACTAACAACAATAACAGGCACTATTTATTGAAATAAGTGGCTTTTAAATACCTGTGCAGTTATTGTAATTTCAAAGTTTAATAAACCACAATAGTTGTCACTGGACAAAAGAATACAAAAGAGGCAAAGTATAATATATTTAGTTATAGTTAAAGTTAATGCATCAAAGTGTAGACTGCACATGTGTGGAAAACAATTTAAAGATTTATCAGATCAAAACGTCAAGCAAATATATTATCATGTAATGTATTATATTCTGCAGCTTTTGTTCATGTTTAGAATAAATAGTTTTGTTTCATTTTGCTTTGTGCTCAATCCTGAACAGTTTAATGACAGTACCATATATTTAAAGTGGTCTCTGTCAATTGCATTTGTTTTATAGCAAGACTAAAAACTATTCTGGTCCAGTGATATCATTAATTTGTCACTACATACTAAATATTTGTCAATAACTATTTAATATCATTTCAAAGTTCGTGTTTTTGCTCTATCTTACACCTTGGGTGCATTTCATTATAAGAGTGAAACATGCACTAATTTGCACAATTTTGCTTTCAAAGTGTTTCACACATCAACAATGAAATGCACTCTACCATGAACATGTACAAAATCTAATTAGTCTATTAAGGGAGGAAGAAAATTTGATAGAGCAGCCACCACAATTAATATATCAGAGGCAACAGGTGACATTGAAATGGGAATTTTACGATCAAAAATATGCCAGTTTTTAATACGTTCCATTAACCTTTCCACGTGGACACGGAGACTTGCAATTGTTTTATTATGTTCTGTTTCTTTGGTAGAAAATTGCTTTTTGTCTTTTAGAAAATTAGGTTTAACTAGCACAACTCCAACTGATGCTAACTCATCTTGACAATTAAACCCCTTATCAGCCATTACCTCGTCACCTCTTTTAAGTTTGCCAAGAAAGCCACTTTGCATTGTTATTTCTAGATCAGAAGTACTTCCTGGAAATAGTTCACTAACAAAACAGACAACTCCACTTGGTGTGATTCCTAATAAAGCTTTCATTGTGTTAGTGCTCTTATAGGATGAATAGCAGGCAGATTGGGCATCGAGTGACGATGGCTTTTCCATCTGGAACTCAGTGCAGTCTACAATGACAACAGTGTCAGGACAGATTTCTTTGAAGACTTTCGGCATATGAAATTTCAAAACATCATCAGGTGGTATCTGTATAAGTGGCTCGAACTCTGACCTCAAAAATCTCAGCCATGAGTTAGTTATCCTTGAAACAGACATGCGAGAAACATTAAACCTATGGCCCAAGTCTCTCTCAAACAATCCCAGTCGTATTCGCACCAAAGTCATTATGAATTCCTGGAATGCTGATAGTGCTCTAGGTCTGCCAGGTTGTTTTGTACTTTCTAAGTCACAGTATATTCTTTCATAATTGTAGCTTATATTCTTAGCTGAGTCTTTCACTAGGTTGTAACACATCATTAACATTTCATAATCAGAGAGTCCAGTGTAGAATGCAATGTCATCAGGATTATCTTTGTACTTCTCAATATTAAAAACTTCACTATTACTTGAAATAAAGTTCAAATGTTTGTTTTCTTTTGTTAACTGGTCACATTTATCTCTCAATTTTTTGTTTTCCTCTTTGAGTTTAGATACCTCATTCAATACCTCTTCCAATGATGCCAAATCTATGTCAGTTTGAGTGTGTTTAGAAAGATATTGATGTTGTTCTTCTCGAAAATTATTCAGTATTTCCTCAGGTTGAACTTCTCTCGTATAGTATGGATCCTCGTGCAGTGATTCAGTCGAGGTCGGTGTTGTTTGGGTTACAATGTTGGCATTGTTGTCAGAGTAACTGCTGTCAGTATCAGTAGTAGATACAACAACTGATGAGACTTTCCTTTTCTTTGGCACAAAGTCATGCTTAAAGATTTCTCTCCTTGATTTTCTCTCTTTTGTCCATGGAAATATTGTTGGCAGATGATTTCTGCTGAGTTTTTGGCCACCTTCGAAGTGTTCAGAACAGATTCTCGTTTGGGAAGAATCCAGCTTTAGCGATTCGTTTCTAAGCGATACTTTGTAGTATTTCCGAGCCTTTTCGCACTTGGGAATCCTGTAATATTCCAGATTTGGTTTGTTTCTAAAGTTGTTGGTACACTGGGGCACACAACAGTTAAAATGATGTGGCATTTTCCTTCAAAACAGCTTTGAATTAGTCTCTTTTGAACAGGATAAATTACAACACATGTATGTCAACATGTCTTCCTGTCCAGCCAATCAATCCATGCATGCTTTGCGATCGACATTCGATCCCAGGCCCTTTTTCGTTTTGTTACCGGCGAATT